CAGATAGCGCAAGTTGTGATTTCGTACGCCAGCCAAGTATCCAGTGAAGTATCCAACAAAGAATGCTATCCAAGGACGCCTAAACGGTTAAGAAATACGTCAGGAATCCAGTAGGATATTGGTAAAATATTTCAAACTGACTTAGTAAGGCGCACGGCTGTGCCACCAAGTGCTCATCTCAACCTTTCTAAGGTTATAAGTCCAAGCCCCATTCAACTCTGCCATCTTGCTTCTTACTATTTCTTCGCAGCCATGGAGGTCTCCACATCAAGTCGAATCAGCAAATAAGACGGCGCCAACTTTCACACCTGGAAGTTCAATATGCAGATGGTGCTTACAGAGTAAGAGTTGTGGGATTTAACGAGTGGTAAAAATCAAGCTGAAGCCTTAAACAAGCTCTATGGATCTGTCGACCTTCAAGATGAAGTTTCAGAAAGCCTTGGCAAAAAACTGCCTTGCGATGGAGGACTCGCAACGGCCACTCGGGTCGTCAAGCGGTGCGCATGGTGAATGGCTAAGATTGGAGGAACACTCCGAGAAGTGGTTTATTTCGAATGAGATCTTTCTCTGTCAAAAACTTTACGACAATGATGGAAGAAAGATGATGTTTCGAAATACATCACCAAGCTTAAACGCTAGTGAAGCAGCTTGACGCTGTGGGTGCCCAGGTGAGCGAGGACGACTTGGTGATCACGGTTGGAAATTGAAGTGACTCATACCAGTTTCTCATTACAGCTTCAAAATACATACGGATACTTTGACATGGAACTTGGTGACATCCCGCCTTCTACATGAAGACATGAAGTGTAAGAAGCAGGGTGGCGATGAATCCACGTCTGGCCAAGCTTTTATGATAAATAATGCTAAGAGCAAATGAAGGCCGGCGAAGAAGACTGATGCGTACCACAATTGCGGAATCAAGGACACTGAATTGTGAATTGTCCCATGCGAATTTAGAACGACACTGAGCGACATCAGTTGAGGCGTGCGATCGTTGCGAAAGTAGAAGATATTTGGATCATTTCTTGATTGTATATAGCAGTGGCCCAACCAGGCCAAACGATTATGGCTGACCGACTCGGGTGCGTCACAGCATATGACAAGCTTTGAGAATATTATGAGAAACCACATGGTGATTTCTACTAACGACGTACATATTTCTGAATGACTGTGTGGTACAAGCCATCGACAGCGATACATTGTTATGTCAATACATAAATTATATGAAGCGAAGAAGGGTGTGCTGACAAACTTATGTCACATCCTCAAGTTGTCGAGCAATTGTATTTCGTCGGTCGCTTTAAAAAAAGACGTTGGGCCTGTCGTTTTCGGAAAAGAAGGATGCTTTGCTGAGATGAAAGGCGTCAATAGAAGATCAGTGCATGAGAAGTAAAAGGCTTGGTTCGGCTTCAAACCGAGCAAACGAGCTTTGAGAGGGAACATCTGCAAGTATAACGAGACCGCTCCTATTCCCCTCTTCTTTCTCAGCATGACTGAGGTGCATCGCTTCTGGTGTGCTCGCAGAGCATTCACTTCCAGTACTCATCCTGCCGTCGCGGTACTCTACAATGAAATTGAGGTCCTTGCCTCCTCAAAGTGGTAGGGTGGACGCGAGAGGTCCGTATTTGTTGAGAGATCGTCTATGAAAAAGTGAGCCATCACTGCTTGGGAGAATTTGATGCCATTGCGGTGATGAAAGCTCTTTACGCCTGATTATAGTCCACCAGTCTTTGTCTTCTTTGTAGAAACGACCTTTGACCGCATTGATACGACTGGCTTGGCGGTGTATTGGGAGCGCCTCTTTTACCATAGTAATGCATGTTAGTTGCCATTCTTGCGCGCGGTCTTTAAACTTGGAGACCGCAAGCGCAAAGCACTATTGTTTCGTTTGGAGCACAATTTAGGAATCATGGCCCTATGCCTGTCCTTATCAGCTCATTCGGCCGGTGAGTTGTTACGCACTCCTTAGCAGATTCCGACTTCCATGGCCACCGTCCTGCTGTCCAAATGAACCAACACCCTTTATGGTATCTAGGATCCCAAACGAAGAGGCTTATAATGTTTTGGTTTTCATAGGCCTGGATGCTCAATATCAACAGCCTAACAATGGCTACCATATGTCCCACCGATGCCCAGTTGGGATGCTCCTAGATGTGCCTTACCAGTGCATTCTCACAGCACCGCAATAGTGATGCTTCCATATGATCACTGCCGCCTTAGATCCGTTGACTGCCAGTTCGTTGATCCCGCCGATGCCATCAATTGACATAAGCTAATTAAGCCGGTTTGGTTGCCGGTCCGAATACTCGAACATTTCATGTGCAACCTTTTAAAGCATATATTCCTTTTGATGACTCGGTCATGAAACTGACAGCTTCTATTACCTAGTGGGTTGTCGCGTGCTTTGAATAGAGAGAAGTTTGTTTCTCAAGTCGGTACTGACAAATGCAGCTAGCTTGGGTTACACTAATAGTTTATTTTGCTATCACGAAAGTACATTCATATAAGTTTTTAAAACCACTCAGACTAATATAAAATATATGCGGCTAACAATCGCTTATAATATGACTGTCTGTATTTTGCGGCGTGTGGCTAGCTGCCCGAACGTACCACGAATTACAGCTTATGATCTTCTTAGTTCGATACTTATGAATATGCACAATCAAATCAAAGTGTAATGTAAACTTCATGCAATTGTACGGTCGTGTTCTTTGATTATTTTTCAATTGACTTGCCAAAATTTACTGGATTAATAAATCACACTCGATACTGAGTTTGCCTCTATTGTACAAAAAAAGTCAGCAACAACCTTTACTTCGATCACAATAGTGTAAACTGTTACTTGCGAAATGACTCGTATGTAACGTCAATTATTTATTTTTTTATATTGTCGAGCTTTTGATAAAACATAAGGTACATGGTTGTTAGGTGAAATTGTACAGATGGTCTAACTCAAATATCAGTAACAAGATTAGACATTTTTACACCAACGCTCATTGTCTCACGCTTTTAATGATAATGATCGTCATGAAAATATAAACATTACGTACTCGGAAACTTCTCGAGACATTTTAAAGCTACTTGTCAACATAAAAAGGTGTAGGAATCGGCCTTTATGGTAGCCTTGAAAATCCGAAAACATTTGTTGGATCGTCGGGTAACCTTGACTTTATCGCATCGACCAGATTTTACTGACAATCTCGTTAAAGAACATGATTCTAGTAACTGTAAAACGTGGTAAGAATGACATTTAAGGTTTCATCTTAAGAAAAAAAAATAGTTGATGCTTTGCTTCTGTGTGTTGATATTTCGTGCTTTGTTTAGTAACAATGCTAGTAACATATTTTGTTGTTACACTTAAAATACAAGATCAAACTTAAGATACTTGTAGCCTCAAATTATCACGTTTAAGATACCTCCGATGGACAATTGTAAATCAAGAGAGAATGATTTAACAGTCTTTTATGTGAAATATCGATACAAACGGCAAGCAGATGAAATACTGGGTTTGCCTATTTGATGTTTTTCGTCCTGGCAGTTGGAATGTAGACATCATTGTAATTTTGTCGCACTCTACACGTACAATTTAATCATGAAAGAATTGCCAAAGCAACGAGGCCGTTCAGGCCGTTCATGTACGGAACAATCGATGCTGTTATCTACGCCATCACCGTCGCGATGGCGTCGCTTTAATGTGACACACAGACGGAACACGACACTGCGCCAAGACATCTGGACTGTACTCCGATTTCGTTCGTCTCTACAGCATGGCTATGGACTGCAACTTGCATCGTATATATTAGAGCTCAGTGTCCTCATACTCGTCCTGTTGAACGTGGTAGTGGCTGTGTCCGAATCCTCTGTTATACCTGATGCAAAGTTGGCATCTTCATCTAGTCCACCTCAGGGCAACGGCTGGATGGATAGTTTTCTGTTAGTGTCCACGATTATTTTTTCCATCGAGTACGCTCTACGATTATGGTCGTGCGTAGAGGACGAGCGATTCAGCAAAGGGTCAATTCGAGGACGGTAAGAACTTTTTAGTCGTATATAACCCCTGACTGAAGACCGTAATGCTGCAGAATGATCTGGATGATGCAACCTCTTTCACTGATAGATCTTTTAGCCTTGTTCCCGTTCTATTTGGAGCTCGCTGTGAAATTTGAGTGCGTCAATACGAATCTAAGACATCAATTTTATATATGACTTTAAAAGGTATCTGCGTGGCAGCACACACGACCATGGCGGTTTGACATTACGAAGTCTTCGGCTACTTCGGGTCGTGTCTTTTTTGCGACTAGAGCGCATGTACAGCGCTATGAAGAATCTTCAAGTGATTTTTGCTCGCAAAAAAGAGGAGTTCTTGGTTGTGTCGTATCTAACGGCAGTGGTCGTACTCACATCGTCATTGCTGATCTTTTTCTTTGAGCACGTGGCGCAGCCTACTGTGTTCTCAAACTTTAGCGTTTGTGTGTGGTGGTCCGTCGAAACGATAACATCCCTTGGCTACGGCGACATTGTGCCCATTACGAGTATTGGTCGAGTGGTTGCCGCCTCGCTCGCGCTGTGGGGTGTTGTTTTGTTTACCATTCCTGGTGCAGTATTGGGAAGTGGGTTTATTGAGGTTATGCTAGAGAAACAGCATGAGGAGGAGGCTGAATTGAATCACTTGGCTGTAGACAATGTTGGGTCGAGCAAGAATAATAAACCACCGTCTGTTGAATGCTTAAGCGAGGGCGAAAACGCACTCTATGGAAGTCAATTGGATACTGAAGCAGCAGTACATTTGTCTGTTTCGACAAATAATCCATCAACATTGCACGCTGTGCCTTCGATGCGAACTGAATTTCTGTTTCAGAGGATTGAGACCATAACGGCAAGCCAGGTGAATTGTATGCTTACTGTCGCATAGTGTGAAAATTTGATGGGTAGTGACTTGAGTGCTTTGTGTATATTTTTTACAAGCACCGCCTGGAAACGCAAGCTCATCAGCATCAACAGCTGCTTGAACGGCTTATACAACTGTTCGAGACCGTGCCTCCCTCAAATGGTTTGTCAAATGCGTCAATGCGACATAATTAGAAGTTCGGGCAACCGAGTTGAATTTTAAGGCTACAATTTTTATAATCGGTATTCAATGCAATTTTTGATCTGTTCTTGGTGAAGCTTAAAGACCGACAAAGACTTGGGCATCTTTTTTGTTGACGGGTGTTCCAAAAGTATCCAAGACGGATGTCTGAAGTCAACCAAGATTGATCAGTCGGCAAAATTTATGTTGACTTGATGGTTTTCTTGGTGTGGGCAGGATATCACAGATATGCCAAACTTAATGGCAAGCTGTTCAATGCATAGATTAATCTCTACAGGCTGTATCAACCCCTGTCATCTGCTATGCAGTCAACGCCTTCTGAATGCTCTCAATCGACATAGGAAGCGCTTCGAATACGTTTACTGTATCTCTGATGAGTGCTGTTGAAAATGAGCAGCGTGTGCTGTCGAAAATGAGCGTCGCTGCCTGTCATTTAGCATCCTCGGTAAGCGTAATCTCTGCTGTCATTCATCAAGTACCTCCTTGAATCTCCTTCATATTGTAATTTTCTGTGTGGCTAGAAAGATGGCTGCTCTCGTGCACTAACCTTTCACCGTTTAATCGGCAGCGACAAACATTAATCTTCCTCGGTATCATCATAAACCTTTTTACGACGTTTGGGCTGTTTACAGATTACTCCTAATTTCACAAAATGACTGTCTCCGATCTTGAGAAAAGTATCTTACTAACAGCAATCAGCCTCGATCGTGCATTTTTGTCCTATCCAACACCATCTTCGATCTAATCCGTGAAGGATGCAAAATTTGCCGCTGTCACGCAGTTGTTCACGCTGTTATGGTACTGCATTCCTCATGCATTTTGCAAATCATTGTTCTATAATCTTTCGTCATGCCAATATTCTAGGGCTTAAGAGTCTCAAGATATCCCGCTCTTGCATACGTCAGGATATCCCTCCGACATATACTTTATCTCATTAATTATGATATTGAACAATGACTTTTAGCCTCTACTCGGATACTGTCTGCGAACCTTGGAGTTGTATATTTCAATTCTTATTATGTCACCAGCTCCGATGTCAAAAAGTACTAGTTTTACGTCTATCTATGCTTTATAGGTTAGAAGCTCTGCACCTTCCCCTTACAACCCCATCTGACTAGCAAGCCTCGTCAACAGATCAGTGATTTCTAACTTATTTCTGTATACTACTTAAATTTCTCCTTTGGGTCCACGCTGTGGTTTTCTTTAGGTCGCTTGTCACAATCTTTGTAAAGCGAGCTTCGTAAAGAGATTAACATACCTTTTGTGTCCTTTGCTGACATGGGAAGGTCGTACAGAACATAAGCTAGGCTGCCTGTGACGGATCATTTTATAATTCTGGTTGTTTCCATTGCCTTCGCGGTATAGTTTCTTTCAATGTTACTTCCATCTGATACACAACAAGGTGTTGTCTTTTCATATGAGCCTTGTATTTAAGATATATGCTACCAAACCACCTCGTTCATCGCTACAGTTAATTTTTGAGCGAGCATCAACGACCAGATATCTCTTGGAATTGTCAGACGCCACACCTAATCAACGACAAGTGACCGAAAAAAATAGTTCGGCTCAGAATAATGAAAATTTCTTTGACATGAAGACATGATTTGGCCGGTAAGTACCAGAAGAGGCTTAACGCTAAGCTGCAATTTCTCGATCTTGGACGCAGGCGTGCTGGAAACCACCTATGAGAACGAAAAAGAGTCGGGATCGTACTCGACAAGTTATCATTACTATTCAACTGAATATGCAGTCGGTGGGATGGGGAAAGCGCAAGTTGTTCTTTTAAAAATCGGAAGCAAAGTTGATCGCACTGCTTTTGTCGCTGAATTTATACTAGTACAAAGAACTTATTGTGTGTCTCAAGCAATTTTATACACACTATCGCTGTATATCATATGGTGATGGCGACAGCCTTCTAACAATCAAGAGATTTAAGAGTCACGAAGCGTACACGGAGATGAGACCCAATTTACGTTCTTCTACTGCCATATTCCACCTTAAGTTAAACTCAAAACTGTGTATTAAACAACATTTTTTAAATACGCCAGGTTATGTACTCTATAGGAGCTTCCCTTTTGACGCTTTACTGCAATTCCTCTTGAATATTTCGCAGGTTGTCAAGCAGCTCCGGTGCATCCGGCCGAGCATCCGGGTTGGCGTCTAAGCAACGATCAGCAAGAGCTTTAATCTGCACGGGACAGTTCTTTCCAAATGTTGGTCGCAGGGCCATGCGAATAACCATTTGGATGATCTTCATGCTCTGTAGCTTCTTGCCGGAGTTGTCGCGCTTGTCTGAATACGGTACTTCGCTCGTATCCATCTCCGACATGACAATTCCGAATGAATAAATGTCGGCCTTCTCTGTATACTTTTTGCCCATAAGTACCTCAGGAGCTGTCCAGTAGATGGTGCCAACGCCTGCTGTCATGGTTTGCTCCACAGAGCGTTTTCGACTAATGCCAAAATCACTTAGTTTGGCACGGTATTTATTGTCTAGCAAAATGTTCTTTGATTTGAGATCACGGTGAATCACTTTTGGATTTAGCGAATGAAGGTACACAAGCGCTTCAGCAATATCTTCTGCAAGCCATGACAGTTGGTCTGGCCAGTTGAGTTTACCTTTGCGATGATCAAGGTACCCGTATAGATCGCCCTTGGTCATGAACTCTGTCACTGCACATAAGTCGAGTTTATTACTGCATGAAACCCCGAGAAAGCCCACAATTTTCGGATGTCTCAACAAAGCCATGAGCTTAATCTCAGCGCCAAAACACTCAATCTCCTTCACATCGTGCTTTCTTTCATCAAGTATTCGTTTGACTGCCACTTGTGTATTCTCCAGCTGCGCCAGCCACACTTCACCAAAAGCTCCCTTGGAAATAGCACGCGTGAAGTAAAGCGAATCGTATGGGATCCAGCTCTGTCCAAATTCAGGATCTTCTTCTAGTTCTGCCATTACCTTCTCAATTGTTGCCTGAGTACGCGCAACGACACCAGCGTCTGTCTGTCGTAAGTTCACTACATCTACACTGGATGAAGTAGAAGCTACTTGACTCTGTTGCAATTCCATCATCG